TTAAAAATCACACTTTGCAGAGCCCTTTAATTAGCATTGATTTTAATCCTTCAGGTTAGCTTATTTTCAGTTTAAAGTGAAGAACCGTCAGAAGACTGTGACTCTATAATTGGTGGCAAATACAATCAGGCTAAAAGTGCTCATCTTCTCAGCCTACCTTCCAGAGCAGGATGATGGAAGATATGAGCAGCTTATTATTGGCAACCTGGTGCTCCAGTTGTCTTGGGGAAAATAAGTGGTTTGCTCTGAGTATGAGCAAAACCTTAATGTGTTATTATTACTGTAGATCAGGAGCTGAGCTGTAGACATTGAAGTATTGCATTAATATTTGCTGTGCTTGGATTAGCTGAATTGGCAGTGCATTTAAGTAGGGACTTGGGCTTTCTTATTATTTACTTAATTATATTCGTAATTTACTGTGGCTGAGTACTCAGCATGATTTTTAATTGTCTGTGGGAGACTCTTAATTTTACAAATGAGGTTCAATAAATGCATGTGATATTGCAGTCTTGGTTTTTTAGGAAGAAGACTGAGTTTTCTGCTCATTGCTAAGCTTTATGGTATTCCCATTACTACTACACTAGTGTGGTTGTAATTAAATTTTTAGAAGTTCATTTGTGTGTAGTTACTAGGCAATCATAATTTCTGCAATTATTATTATTTTGCTATGATTTGCATAGCAAATATATGAGGTTCCTAGGTTCCTGCCCAGTGCTTTAAAAGTAAAAGAAAAAAAAATTGATGTGAATGGCTTAATATGCACTAAATCATCACCTGAAAGAGGCCTTTTCTGAACATCAGAGGTTATCTGCCATTTTTCACCTCAGGTACTCACCTAAAAGGTTGAAATATATATAAAGCCCCTCTAAGCACACCTTTATAATGGAATAAATTTGGGCTGTTAATGTAGGTCAGTATCTTGATATTTTGTACAGAAAAATGAATAGTCATCCACCTTCACTGTGAATTACTTTAATAAAATATGAGATGAAAAAAAATAGTGAAAAAAAAAAACAAGCAAAAATTTTATCCATTTCCTTTACCATATGTATTGTTAATTAAAAATTATGCATATGAGCAGAACCTCAGGAGTGTAAAGAAGCATCTTGTAGAGGAGAAATCAAATGGTTTAGTGAGTAATAAAACACTTGAAGACTTGCCCTTCATTTCCTCATTGAAATTTGGTTTAATGATAATGGTCACACTGTGAATTGGTGTTCCGCACAGGAATGGTACAGCTGTGTGAGAGTCTGTTTCTCAGACTCACAGATTCACAGCATAATTTACGTAGTAAGGAATTATAGGCAGTTATCAAGTTGTGGAGGGTTTTGTTCAACTGAGTGTTCCCATGATGAGATACCACAACCTCCCTAGGCAGCTGTTCTGGATTATTCTTTGCTCCTGTTCTTTGCTATGCTTTCTTTCAGGTTCCTTTTCAACAAAATCTATCTAAAAACACAAAAAAAAAAAAAAATTACCATCAAGCTCAAAAGTATTTTTGTCCCATGCCCTGTTTCATGCATTGGAGATCAAAAGAAAGAATATATGAACATGTCAAACATATTCTCTTAGCCTCCTGATTTCTTGAACTTTGGGTCTTTCTGAGCTGCATGTTTTTAAACATTTCTGGCTACCCAAATTGAGGGAATTTAATTTTCCCACACTTTTCCTTCTCTTGAAGATATGATTTTATCCCCATAATCTACTGTGGCAGGAGTCCCCCAGTACAAATGCACTTTGAAAAAGGAGCCACCCCTCTTTGTTTATTTGTTCAACTTACTTTCTTTTGATGCCTTGTGAAGGCTGACCTACAGCAGAGGCTAGATGGAGTTAAAGAATAAAGTAGGTATTTATTAAAAGGTCTCAATGGATACACCTTGGGCAGCACAAGAGCCCAGCCAGGGCTACACTCAAGATTAACCCAAAATGCTCACAAATTGGATGACTGGTCCTGCGATTTCTCACTTTTTTAAGTTCTGATACATTAGCATCTTGGAGTTAATTGTCCAGTTACAGCTTTAGGTTATGAAGTCCTATCCTTGTTTTTCTCTCTTCAGTCCACATTGTTTATGCTCTTGGGCCTGAGGTTGTCCTTGGTCCCCAGCTAGAGAAGGAATTTTGTCTACCTACTCTGTGGAGGGAGCTTATTATCCCTTAACAGGAAGCTCAGAATTACACACTAAACCAGTACAGAATATGAAAAATATAAAAGCTAAATTCTGATGAAAAAAAAAAAAAAAAAAAAAATATTTTTTTTTTTTTTTTTTTTTTTTTTTTTTTTTTTTTTTTTTTTTTTTTTTTTTTTTTTTTTTTTTTTTTTTTTTTTTTNAAAAAAAAAAAAAAAAAAAGCTACATCCATTTTATGATGTTACTCTTAATCAGTTTGATTAATGTCCTGTGGTTGTTTTCACAATCTTCTATTATTCAATTTTATCTTTTGATGTAGTGTTACTCTATTCATTTGTCCCTCATGCAGAAGTCATTCTGTACACTCCATTATCATCTTACTTTTTTTTGTGAGCTTCTGGTTGTACCTCTCTGATTAAATAAAAAATAAGGAAAGCAGTCAGAGAAGGCTAGGATGCATAGACATGCACAAATAAGAAAGACCAAAACAGATGAAGAATTACAGGAATTTTAAAACTATTGAGCCAATGTTGATTTAGTTTAGAGCTGTTGACAAGGATAGTGCCATCTGTTTGTACAGTATCTGAAGAACACTAGTCCGTGGCCATCTCTGAAAACTCTGTCATATATACTTAGAGGTTTGCAGAAAGTTACTTTCAAATTTTCTCTTTTTTACACTTCAGGCAGAGGCTTACGATGTGTTTAACACTTGTATGTTGCAGGTGATACCTTACATTGCCTGCCTTTGGTGTTTCTGTCATCACTAAATACATCTGACAAATTAAAATTTCTCTTATCCAAGCAAATTCTGTCAGCTAAGAAAAACTCATCTGAGCCCAGCTTCAGCAACATTCTCAACCAAATCTTCAAGTATGGGAGTTTCAATGGGTTCAGAGAAGTTGTAACAACTCAAGTTTCCCCCTAAAAACATGGAGGATTTGTCCCTTTAGATATTTATGTTTGTAAGCTCCCTAAAGAGATATTATAAAAAAAATCAATCCAGTTTACTTGCTACAATTAAATATACTCACTCAATTTTATACTTTCATGTAAAATCTGAAATGCTTATGATATAGTCAATATTATAGGCAATTTAAAGCCTTCCTGAAAAGAGATCCTGTCAACAAGAAATCTTTGCATTTCTGAAATAATTTAAAAGCAGTTTCTAGTTCTGTACCTCTCTCTTGATCCCATTGTCAATCTGATAATTTAATCGTCTCATTTTCCTACTTCGAACATAATGTTTCTCCCACTTCTGACAAAAAAAAGCCTGTGCAACCAACCAAGAAAGACCAACTGTAGAGAAGGAACTGGAAATTCAGTTTTAGAATTAAGAAGAAATACACTAAAGATAGTTGCGTACCTCAAGGAAACGGCAGACCCTCAAAGCCAGCTCTACACAAGGCGCTGTCATTGGAGTACTAGTACTAAAAACACTAGAATGTTTCTATCATGACAGAATGTCAGACATTCTGAAGAAGTGTCAGAATTTAGTTAATCTTGGAAACAGAACTCACAATAAATATAAAGAAAGTAAAAAGAGGAGGCTGAAGCTGTCATCTGTTTGACTGCTTTAGAGGTCAAGGAATTCCCAGGAATAATCACCTCTTATATACAGAGGCTATTCCTGTCCTCTTAGTGGTTACTTGAAAGAATTTCAATCCAAAGCTTGATGTTTTACTAAGATGTGCATCCTGCTTTGAAAGGAATTAATTTATGCAAGTTTTTTAGCCTGTGGGAAGTGGGACATCAGACTCTGTTTGGGTTGGTCTCTTCTATTTTTATAAGCATGAGTTTGTAGTATTTTCAGGTTATTTTTGCTCTAAAAACTTTTACTTGCTTTTTCTGATGACTAACCCCCAATAGTTAACTGTGGTGTGGAAAGGTATTTCTTTGAATGAACATCAAGTGATTAAAATAACTTAAGAACCTTCAAACAAGTTATTGTAGTGATAAATATTCAGTATCGTCCAAGGCTAGTATCAAAGCACCTTAGCTGTGAATTTATTTTCTTTTAATATGCTTTACAGTAAAATTTTGATTTGAGATGTTAACTGCGTTTACAAGACAGAATACTCACACTTATTCTGGCTTGTACTTTCAAATTGTTCACAGGAAAAAAGACAGAACAAAAAAGGCTAGACCTTTAGGTGATCAGAAACAAAACTTAAATAGTGAGATGACTCATAGAGAACAAATATAGAACACAGAGAAAAGCCATTTATTTTTGTTAGCCCCAGTAAGTAGTACTGGAGAAATAAGAGGGAAAAAGATGCATATAATTTTCCTTACAAGAGAGATAAAATGGCTTATAAATAAGTATTTTCAGTTTATATAATTTTTAAAAATCATATATTTTAATGTGCAGTGGCTTCCCATTGCAATTTTGTCCACTACCCATCGAATGCTGGTATGGGAAGCACTGTGTTTACAGCTGGGTGGTTCAGGTTTTCTCACCATTCTCCTCTGCTTTTCCAGACACAGGCAGCAGGATTCCATGGTGTTTTATGTAGAGTGAGAAAAGGTTGTGGAAGGGAGTGAGTGGGGGAGAGGTGAGCTTACAGAGATTTACTGGGACAATCACGTCTTGATATCTTTTGGTAAAAGAACTAAGAAACTCTTCATGCATTGTGCAGGGAGAGTAGGAAGGTTGAGATGGCACCAGAAATGCAGCATTATGCAATCAAAATATTCTTTTTTTTGTTGTGAAAAGGAGAGTATGGAACCATGTGAAAACCTTGCCATGCAGCATTGTTATAAAACATCTCAACGTTGCTGTGATTTTTAATGAATACATAGATCCTTGCCATTTTAATAATTTTATCTTGTTTCAGACTAGTAGTTTTAACTCCTACACTTTGATTGCGTTTCAGAACAGTCAAGCATCAAGTATTGGAACTGACATCTGAATTAAAGAGTGAGCAAAAAAATCTCTTCCCTCTTTAACTATTGAAACAACTAAAATGGAAAACTGACTAAAAGAGGTGAGTCCTTTCCTCTGATCATTCTCCTTGATCTCTCTCTGCATTGCTTTTATTCATTCTCTCCAGATCTGCCTCCTGTAAAGGCAGGGAGCTAAATGACTGCAAACTTTCAACTGCTTTGATGGAAGTAAAGGTAGATAGAAAATTACACATATGATAACCTATCTTTGCATTTAACTAGTTATGCTGGTTGAGGACTCTGTTAATATTGGATGTCTTCAAATATTGTGGTGAATGATTTTCACAAGTCTGATATTAATGTAGAAATATATATATAATATAAATATAAATATTTATATATATATAAATGTAGTATAAACTTAAATGAGGAGTAGAGCCCCATAGAGCTAGATTCACCAGAGCTGTGGAGAGAGTGTAGGGAATGTAAGAGGGAGGATTGATTTGGCCTAGAGGAATATTAGCAAAGGGGAGAGGGCAGAGGGAAAAATGAAGTACAGAAGACAGGCATGGCAAAGGGTTGCAGCATCTTGCAAGTAACATTGAAATGCCCTGGAAAAGCTCTGGTAGGGAAAGAACTTCCTTTTCCACAGTGTCCACAGATATTTTTACTTGGGGTTTTTTTCTGTTTGTTTTGGTGTGGGTTTTTTTTTTTTTTTTGCACTAAAAGGGGCGTGATAGGACACACTGAAGATAAGCTGACCTCTAGCCTCTGGGACAGAAATGGAATAGCAGTGAAATGTCTACATATAGTGAATTACTGGTGTTTCCCAATGTTAATCATACTGAGAAAAACTGAAATCAGTTCCTTATCATGTTTCTTTATTACCACATGGCTGACTTAAAGATACATGAACTAGAAACAGGGAAAGTTTTTATGTCTTTTTTAAAGTGTGGTCATTCTGCCTATGATTTGATATTATTTTAAATGTAACACTTAGAACTAAATTAGACTCACTACAATTCAGTGACATGCAATTTAATTGTAATGTTAATTAATATGTTAATCATATGATTGGTTATGGGTATTTTAATTTAGTTAGGTATGATGCTGTACTTCCATTTGTAAATTTCTCTGAGTGGGGCAGGAGTTTAAGAAACATTTTACATCTTGCATGAAATATTATACATCATAGGAATACTCTTTTTGTCACTTGAGTGATCTTTTTTCATTGTTTTCCATTAGTGCAAAAAATTTCAATAGATACCTCACTTAAAAAATGTGATTTCTTACAATTAGAATGCTATCTAATCATCCAGAAGCTTTATATTTTAGTAAATGTATTTTAAGAGAGGAAAGAAGCAAAGTGTTGAAACATTTCCATAGCCATTAAATGTATCCATGATGATTTATACCCTCATGTGGGATATATATAGATAGGTAGAGATAGAGATATGATTCTGCATGTTATATATGTAATATACATATGTCTTTATACATTGCAAGTATGTATTTCTAAGGTACATACACATTACAGAAAGTAGGACTTGGAACCAGTGTGTATCTTCTGACAATGTGAAATAGATCAGCTCTGCTAACTTAGCCTCAGTTTGGCCTTCTGTAGAACTCTGAAACTTTATTGTAAAGGTGACATAAGGTTTCCAATGGTGTGATTTTTCCAAGCAAAAGTTGGATTTTTACCTTAGGAATTGTTTTTTTCACAGTAATACATTTGCTTATCATTTACATATATTTATATGTATTTTCATACACACAAAAAAACCCCACCCTATCTGCTCAGCTTCCAGTATCTTGGGTAAAAACAAACATTATGTCATTGAAGAAGGTATTTTGATTAGTGATACATTTATTAGAAGAACAAAGTGTGGTCCACTTATTTTCCTCAGGAATGTATTGACAGTATCATTTAAGAATGGCTCAATGGCCCTTGTGGGTCCCTTCCAATTCAGACTATTCTGTGATTCTGTGAATATAACACTACTCTTTTGTTTTGAATTTTGTTCAAGGGAAATACAGACAGAATTTAAAGATGCCATTAAATCAGGACATGTTTATCATCAGGGAGAAGATGACTAGGCTTTGAAAAAGTCAGATAACGAGAATCTATATGAAATGTGTTAGGGACATGGATGAAATTGAACTTTAATGAGACTAAACAAAAGGAATATAATTGATCTTCTACAGTGAGAATGTATTGAAGTAATTTAAACCTTGAGGTCCTCTTGTCTTAGTGGGAGCCAGGATAGAGGATGTTTTGTGTGATCTAATTATGCAGAAGTCTCAAGCTCTGCAAAATATTATTCCTTAGGGGAAAAGGACACAAGACAAAGAGAACAAATTACCAGTTAAAAGATATGATGATCTTTGATGCAGTACAAGGGGAAGCATAAGGTATTTTACTAATAATCCTGGTGTGAAAGTAACAACCTTAATGAGAAAAGTTAGAAAATTGCCTCAGGTAAAATACACTGAGAAGGCAGAAAAGCTTGGATGAGGCAAAGATACTGCAATCAAATATAAAGAAAAAAACAGATTTCTAGTACAAATTGAAAAAAAAAATGATTATGGCTTGTTTGAGGTATTTTGAAGAAAAATTTAAGCAGGACTTATTATAGCATAACAGCAATTCCCTGAGCAGTTATAGACAGCCTAAAAATCAGGCAAAAGAAACTAAACTGACTGTGAGATGGACAAGTGATTTGTCTATTAGATTAAACAAGACATTTCAATCAATATTCAAATTTTATATATTCCTACTTCCTTTTCTACTTACGGGAAAACCAAACTTCAAAATTGTAGATAGGGACAACTCTTTTAAGTATTTTTACATCCAGAAGAAGTTGGAAGGCCAGGGAATATCCATAATGTTTTGGGATACTGAAGTCTCCTGGAAAGTTATTAGCTTTAAGTATCTTAGTGACTACGAAAATTTCCTAAGTCTGATAAACCATCAGTGTAGGCATAATGGAAAATGGAGATACAGAACCATAGAATCACAGAATGGCTCTGGCTGAGCAGAACCTTAAAGATCCTTAAGCTCCAGCACCTATTATAAATGAGAAGAAAAGATTAAGAACTGCACATAGAGAGGTGCTGGGATACAGAGTTGAATATTGAATCAAAAGCTTCATTACTGTTAAAAGTAAGGAAACAATTGACATTAATTCATTAACAACTAAAAATTATAGAGGCTTATCTTTGAGTAATAAAAAATTGTCATGAATTTGCTTATATAAATAAAATATGTAAGTTAGAAGAAAAAAAGAAAAAATAAAGAGAAAGGTCAATATTTGATATAGCTAGGGAAACAGACTTTCTGTGTCAGTCTGAGAAAAATGTCCCTTAATCACAGCTAGCAGAAATAGAAGATAATTCCCCACATCTATAATCAATTTTGTATCAAAATTTATTTCAGACATGGATCCTTCATCTCCTGCTCTTTACAGTTGGTATCATCTAGATATTTATTGACTGAATTATAGACAATGTACAGTACTTCTTCCTATGAAATCTAGACTAACCCTTCTTTTAAGTGGAAGATAGGCTATTGGTGCAGGAAATTTACCCAACTTGCCAGAAGACTCTATTTACTACAGTTCACCTTAACTTCTGCAAATATAGAGAAATTTTGTAACATTCCGATCTTTTTTTTTTTTTTACAGTCTTTAAAGCATTACGACATTGCACCTGCAGGATTTAAACAGAGTAATAAAAAATTGTCCTTATTTATACTTCAATACAAACAATGTCAAGGTACTAAACAAAATATTTTTTTTTAATAATTGGTTTTTATTTAAAATATTCATTTATTTATTTCAAGGTATTTAAATAAGAAAGTAACAGGTTGATAAACTCACATGAACAGTCTCAGGAAAGGAGAGATGAAGCAACTTCAAGACACCATTGTGTGATTCCCAGCCCACATCCCATTGCCTTGATAAATATGACATTGTAGAAAATAGGTGGAGAACTGAGGCCAAATTCTTAAGCATCTTGGTCTTTTTTATTTATTCTCCCTCTTCCTATTAATCCCATGGAATGCTAAGTGATCCTTTAATTTTAAAATACCCGCCCTTCTGACTTTCTTTTCCTCAAGGGAAAGTCCTAGCCAAAATAGAGATGCATGTAGAGCACGACTGCTGAGTGACATCCCTGAGGCAAGGACAGGGTTAGAGATAGACCATTACCATTCTTGTAAGGTCTCTCAGAAGAGGTCATCCCTAGCTCAGGAAATACTAGAATTACTCAACCTTTTTATGCTTTTCTATACTTTTCTTTAGGCATATACTGCCACTGTAGTTTATGTCAGTGGCTCAATGAGCCTTTGAATTCACTCGGAATGGCTATTTTTGGACATGCAACTACTGGAAGTGGATGCCTGTAAGAAGCTTTTATGGTTGGACAAAAAGAAATGACACCATTAACTCTGAGAAATTGAATAGTTCTTGTATTGCTGTCATTCTCTTCCAGTAAAAAATTTCAAGTTGAGCACAGTGGGAAATCCAATTTGCTCCCATGATATAAAATCATATTCCTGAAATAATTCAGCACTTTTAGAAACAAACCAACACGTGGAACTGGCACTAGTTTTTAGGCTTATACAGGGAGAGATGCCTTTCTTTGGTTTGCATTGCTCATCACAAGCAGACACGGGCACAGTGATAAATATCTCACCATCTCCTGATGGCCTCATGGAATCAGGGACTGCACATCTATGCTCACACCAGAAAGGTTATAGGAAGCACATTTGTCCTTATATAGTCTTCCTTTGTATTTTTATATCATTGTAAGAAAGACATCAAAAACATAATAAAAAATATGATTTAGATAATCCTCTTAGTTCAGGGTCACAGGGATGAAACCAGAACTGTGCAAAATAAAAAGATATATTTGTTCTTACTGGATAATGGAAGTGTGACCAAGGTACCTTAGTAGCCTCTTCTGATTCATTGGGTAATGCAAAATTATGGACTCCTGAAAGCTTTATTTTATATGAAACTCCACCATATGGCTATTACTTTAAACTTTGCTACAATCTCTTTTATTTCTATTGTATAGTTTCTACTTACTTTTCATTCCC